TCCTGTTTTCGAACATTTTCTCTGCTTGACAATGTATGAACTCACTCCTATTTCGAACGATTCGCATGTAGATCCCGCCAGAAGATGACGGCACTTTGCTCTCGGCTAGCAATCCATACCGCTTTATAAAGCACAAGGAGTGAGAATATATATTTTTTCATTTTATTTATTTATTTATCCTAAACCAGTAATTTTTATTAACAGGTACGTAGAGAGTTTAAATCGAGAGAGGATATCACGGATGTTCCAGTCAAGCCGACTGGTAAATAGTCAAGAGGAATTTACCATCGTCTTCTGGTAGAATCGACGTCCGAATCTCTTCATTATTCACTTCTACTTGAGAGGGTAGTGAGTTCATCAATTCTAAACCAAGAGATTTGTCGAAAAAATCTTTTCTTCGTATGCTCTAAAGTGACTCGAGTCCTTTTTTTAAATTGGATTTTCTCGAAACCCCCTCATTTGACCGATGAGTTTTCTCGACTCGTTAGCTTTATTTTGTTGTTGGCATGGTATCCTACCCTGATGAGGATGACAACTTAAAACACTTTCACCGGACTCAAAGGAGGATGTCTCGTGGACAGCGTGAACTAGGTTGATGGAGTTAAGTTAACTGGCAACTAGGTTCGAACAGCATAACTCTCTTCATCACATACTTTCTCTCGAGATCAAAGTGAATTCATCACATTAGGCAGTTGAATGTGCTGTAAGATATGATGGCTCAGCTGCCCACAACTAAGTGAAGCGAAATCATCATAATACCATTAAAACCTACTCGGCCTTGCCTGCCAAGATAAACTCTTTTTTCAGGTTGGAATTCGGGTCTCGAAACCACCACCAATGGAACTCGAAGTGAGTCGTCTGCGTCAATGTGCAATGTCAGCCCTCCACCACTGTCAGTCGCGGCCTTCTTGGAAGGAAAGGTTTCTTGCGTTATTGATGAGGCGAATTTCCATTCGCTTCAACATTCGGTAAACCTTCTATGCACCAAGCGAATAAATCTCGAGCTAAGATTACCTCAGATCGTGTCGACAGTCTATTGAGAATTTATAAGTCTACTGACTTGCCATATAGTAGTATTATAGATTGTAATGGAAAAAAAGTTTCGCTTATTGTCAAAAGTCTAATTAGTAAAATGCGAATTGTGCGATATCTGGCCTGCCCTTAAGTCAGACTCGCTCTGTGGTCTGCTTTTGTCCGGGGCTTCGTAATGGGGTGATAGCGTGTTGCCGCAATATGTTCTCGACCCAGCCTCGAATCCCGCAGTAAGTCTTGATGAGAAATCCATGTGAGCTTAAAACTACAATCGAGTACGGATAAGAACGCCTTTTGGGAAACATGGCTAAGTGAAATCCAATCGCGTCGTGAGACCTCTACTTACTTCATTGTGGAGACTTCAACTTTATAGCCAATACTATCTCGAGTTCGCTGTCAAGGGAACTACCTATCGGGGTTGAATGTACATTCTAACAGCTGTGCTGATCAAAACAGAGATACACCTTGTGTAGAAAAGTAGCATGGATTCTGAAACAGGTGTTAAAGCGTCA